ATAGATTTTGCTAAATATATTCAGAGGAAGGATTAATTTAAAATAGAAGATTTGTTCAAATATTATAAATACTCCTGGAAATATTAAGAGTCATATTGTAGTTACAAAATTTCAATTAATACTCGTAATAATTGCCAGATATATTTTTATTGATATTATGAATAATTTAAGTAATATAATATATATACTATATATTATGGCTACATATAGTATACATAGTATTATTAATATAATACCATTTTAGTAAGTTTACTGCCACGGCAACTTTCAGGATCCAATTAAAAAGTATCAATTTCATTTTTAATGATAATAATTTTATTATTTGAACGAATTAAAATTCGTTCATTTAAACCAACTTAATTTTCTGTTGTATTCTTTGATCCAACCTAAAAATATTTGCACTGATATAAAAGAATCATAGTTACACAATTAACCTGAACTCAGCATTATGTGTGAATTATTTTTTCATCTAGTTGTACTAAAAAGACATACAGTTTTTTTCAATCCTTAAGAGATACATGTAATTTTATTATATAAAAATTTTAAATATGCTATTAATAAAATAACTAACAGGCACAAGTTCTAAGTCTGGCACTTGTAATCCAAATAAATTATATACGAACTATAAACTAATTATAAAAATTCAAATATACACTAAGACCACTAATGATGAGTACCTAACAATACTCGAAACCGCGTTGTATGATCAGCCAAATTTCAATAAATTAACTAAATTTTTGTTGTTCTACTTTCATTTCTATTCGAATCCTTCTAAGTTTTAAATAGTTTCTTTTCATCATAAGACGCATCAGTTTCGACAAAAAAAATTAACATTAAAAAACATTTCCAACTAAACAAAAGTTAGTATTCGAAAGTATGTATTATGGTCTATATACAAATAGTCTTCTTGATCTCTTCCATTGAGTTGGTAACATTTTGACAAGTTTAATGTATTACTCAATCACAATTCCATAAATTCTTTTAGTTTTCTTGCACACAAAATAATAATTATTATGCATAAGTACTACTCGTATAAATAGAATGTGAAAATAAGGCGAAAAACAACGATGTTAATTGTAATTTCTTCCCCAGTTCCTATCAAAGGGGTTCAAAAAATATTCCATCATAATGCCTTTGTCGAAACAGTGAAAGAATTATAGTTCTTGGCAGACAAAAATGTCTTACAAGCACAATGACAACAGCTGACTTTATTCTTAACACCGCTTTGCAACCATTTTGCCATCACAGCTGAGACCGTGAAACAGAAGGTCTGCCCCTGCCGAATGTCCGACATGCACTTACGACTTGACGTTGACATAAGCTTTTGTGCTCAGAAGACAAATGCATTTTTTCTTCAATGCACTTCGTTTCGACTTCTTCACTAGCTGCTTCCACTTGAGAATTGTGCTGATTAGGAACATCAGTGGCAAATTGTTATGTTCTGTTTGTCGATGTCGATTTCGATGTGTATGTCGATGCTGATGCCGATGCCGATGCCGATACCGATGTCTGAGCAACAGCTGTAAGTAATGCTGCATTCATCATTGAAGTTCAAAACAACGCAAATGCCGGGAATGTTTGATTTCCTATTGGTGGGTGCTTTATATTTCGATTAAGAATTTACTCAATAGATGACAGCCAACAGAACTTCAACTCCCACAGGACTGTTATTGTTTTTCTTCTACAGTAAGTGCACATAATTAAAGCTCAACAATGCGAATTGCCATGACGGACATTGTTATTTATAATTCCGTTTTTTATTATTTATTTTTATATAAAATATTAACATTTTTAATAATATTCGTTTTGTTGCTTGCTTGCGAGGTTATCATCATTCCGTTGCAGTTTCCATTTATCATAACCATGACAATTACGATAATCGCCTACTTCTTCCTGTGCTTTTAATGGAACGCAGAGGCTATATTAGCGACTTGGGATTAATTCCTTCAGAAATTAATGTTCAGTGCGATTGTTGATTGCTGATTGTTGAGCAAATCTTAAGGATCTTTACTTCGAGTTTTAATTAAAATGTAGCAATTTGCAGATGTTTATCATTAACCATACGCTTGAGGAAGGTTCGCTATCGTGGGCAAGTGCATTAAACTGTTTTTTATTTTAAAAATGATTACTTTTTGCTCCCGAAGCATGTTTTTGTATTTCATACATTTAACTTATAGTTTACGTGTGAAAATTTCTTCCCACTTTTTTATCAGCGGATGTAATAGTTTTTAACTCAAAGGTTTTTAAATTTTATTCAAAAGATAATAAAGCTTAAGGAAACGCTGGCAGCGCATCATCTTCCACATTTGTAGTGAGTCATCGTCTTGCACCATAAAATCTTTTGTGGAAAGAAGGAAAGTAATTAATTTCAACTTAAAGACAAAATACGTTAGAGTCGTTCGGCAAATTTAATTATAAGTTTAATAATCTAACTTTATACGTAAGCCCAGCATTATGTATTTTAAGGCCCACATATCAGAAAGAGCTTATAGTCCACAGAAACTTATTAGTTCTTTATAAGCACACTCTGAAGCAAGTTTTATTAACAGAGCGATGACATGGAAAAGACTTCCTCCCTCGATTGTGTTTTCATTAATATTTAAAGTGGTTAATTTTAATTTAATTTGCAAAAGAATGTTAACAAATTCTTGTAGAAAAAGTTAAAATGCTTATTAAAAAGGTTAGTTAGTTTTCACTTTTTTGAAATCATGAAAATTACAAAAAAAACTGCAACTATAGTAATCATACGAATAATATTTTTACATCCAAAATGTTAACAATAGAATAAATAGAAGCATTAGCGGTATTACTACATTAATTAAATGCAGCCTTTCAAAATAAAAAGTCTTACAATAATTTCAAGTAACAGTTTAAAAGGTGGCTTTGAGTTGGTTAAACACTCCATGCTTCTTATAGTAGAGCATATTTTGCCCAACATATTGTAAAAGCTAAGTGCATATATATTAACCACTTTGCAACTTGCATTTTCTCGAATTTAAGTCCTTTTTGTCTAAAACTTCTTGGTGAAATACTAATAGTTTCAAATAACAGGTTGACAGACCCCATTCCAAGATGATTTAAGCGATCCTTATAAATCTTATATAAGATTGGAAGATATACCAATTAAATAATTGAAGAAAATTGCAATACATGTGGCATATGAAGATTTCTTTAGGTGCCTAAATTAATTTTAAAAACTAACCAATTAAATACTATACATTATTCTTTACTTATAAGCCGAGTAATCTACAACCGATACAATAATAAATTAAAAAGTATATAATCATACCAAATTAGAAATATACAAAAAAGTTGCCCTCAATTGGCTACTGGTTAGATTGCAATTGAAGCATTAAAACTATTTTATTCATATATTTTTATTCTACACAATTTTCACAAGCAGGTTCCAGTGGGCTAATACAACAACAATGCCTGGTATATTGTTATATGTTATCATATACATATAAAATATCATATATCATAATATAAATACCGCCATATATTCCAATAATATGAACTACGCTAATTTAGGTTATATTGTAAGGTATCTCTCCTTAGTTTTTGAGATATTATCATCACTTTAGACTTCAAGAATTGTGAGCAATAAGTAAAGCTTAGAGTTTTAATTGAATAGAGCAGCAGAGTACGTTATTTGGGCTACCAAAACACATCAAGGAACTCATGAAGCCAATTAGGTATATTGACGAAGCAGTCGTACTATTTAAAAAGAACTGTTCTACTTTATTAAACTTATAATCCGATCAACAAAGAATTAGTAATTCGGGCATTGAAACCCGTATCCATATCGTATACTTAAAAATGCCAGTTCTTTCTAATTTAAGCTAATTGGAATTAATTCAAGCACCATATTTTATTTGAATTCTTTAAAAAGAAATATGAGTTTGCAGATCTTAATATTTATTACAGGGTAGCCTAATGAAAATGAAACTAACACTCAAACTGTAATTAATTTCCAAATTATAATTTCTATTTAGGCTATTCCTGGTCTTATGACTGGGATGCAATTAATTAATTTTATTCTGGTGGCAGCACTGTTTTAGGGTTCTTCTATTTGTTTTGTTTTAAAATCCAATCACAATGCAGTCTTAAACAACTCAGTGTAAACAAATCTCTAGGGTTTCGGGAGCTACTTTCTAACTGACAGTATTGTAAAACGTTATTTTAATACAGACAAATGGCAACAATTGCAGACAATCTATGACCGAATTGAATGGGATAGGTAAGGTATATATGGCCGTTTAGATTAACTTGCAGTGCAAACCCAGCCAACCTGACAAATCCTTTGCCTAACTGTCCCTTTGGGACAGAGAATTTTGTCAGCTGTGTTCTTGATAAATTGACAAGAGAAAAGCTTGTTTCACTCACCATCCCATGGTGAGATTTATATTGCAATATTAATAGTAATTTTGAACAAAACTATTTCAAATGAATTAATAGTGTATTTATTATTTTAAATATGGGTAAACATTAAAATTAATTTTAAAGTTAACTAAGAATAAGGAACTGGACTGCTAGATTCTTCGTCATGTTAAAAATTATTTATATAAATTATGTTACATAAATATTATATATCACAAGGTTAATTTTTGCATATAATTTAGCGGTAGTACAATTTCTACATGGATGGAGTCAATAGCATCCATAGTTCATATTATTCTAAAAGACAGATTAATGTATATAAAATATTATTTTTTCAAAGATTAATTTTAAGTTTTTGTTTTAAAATATAAAAAAAAACAAATAACCGAAACTTTGGAAATAAATAAATAAAAATTTACTTAAGAAACTTAAAACTGACACAGTCCCATTCAAGCATTAAAAATATATGTTATAAATTATAAATGTTTAACCTATAATAAGTAATGGCTTCTAGTCAAATGCACCGTTCATTACCTCGAATAGAAACAACGAGATTTTCAACAAAAAAATTTTATTTTAGAATATACTAAAGGTTTCAAGCAAAAGATATTCTAAAAATAAATATATAACATTGTTTTGTATATAACAATAATGGGTCTGAGTCATTTGTTTTGTTGAGTCAGGTAGAAATGACGTGGTGGCGGAACTGCCGGTAAAATCATCCAACAAAATGTATGTATAAAACGAAATAATTTATTCCCTGGATTGAGTACTGAACCCACCTGTGCTGAAAACTTGGTTGCAGTACTCCAAACCAAGGATTTCAAACACGTCATTGTACAAACATGTGCCTTCTCTGTACGCACGACTTCAACTTTAATTGTCTTCAGCCGTTTCTTGGAGTTTTCTTCATGTTCTCTAGCAGCAATTCTAAACTTGTTATTTTCACACTCAAGTTTCTGGATACAGTTCATTGCAAATAAAATCATTTTCAAATTAGCCTCAAGTTCCTCAATTTTCCGTTCCAATTCCTTCCTTAAGACTTCATTCAATTGCACTTGTGCTTTATAGGCATTAGACAGTTTTTTTCCATTATTTGTACAACTTCGACATGCATGACATAGACGACATTTCTCTGCAAGCAAAGTCAATTTGAATTTAGCGGCCTTTCGTTTACATTTAGAGGTCTCCATTTTCCTTAAAGACTTTTCTTCGATTTTAACTGTTTGAACTGGGCTTGAACTACTCTGCTGCAAGGCTTCATAAGACATGTTTAGATCAACTAAATCATTCAGATCTTCTGAATTTACCTGCTTAATATATGACTCCATAATTGTTGACACTACTTAGGTAGTATAAAAATTATGTACATTTTTTTTTAAGACATATTATACTTACAAGAATTGTTGTAGAATTTAATGCTCTTATCTTCCATATATTTAAAAATTCCCCTTTTCCAATTATTTGACTTTAAATTTCAACTCCAGGTGTGTCTGCACCATAAGAACAATTAATATTGATATTGAAATACATTTTATTTATATGGGGAAATAAATTTGTTGATAAACAAATTTTTATATATATTTCCACGTTGCTTTGATTAAAGTGAAATTATTGAATTTTAATTATGCTGGTATAGTCTGATTATATTCTTTCAAATATACAGCATGTAACTTTATTTACAATAATCGGGATTTCTATAAACAAAATGAGTACATGATTATTTATTTAATCGTTAACCACCGATATATATTAAATAAATTAATAAATAACAAGTATCTTATATTCTTGGTGAGAATTTAAAAACTTGTTAAAGATTTTATCAAGATTTTTTGTCAAGATATGTGATCAGGTCATCAGCCAGTTTACCTTACAAATTATTAACTTATAGATTTTGTCACTTATGCCAGCCTACTATTTTTAAATGAGCTAAAATCAAAAACCCAAATGTTCCAAAAACAACAAGATCTTAATAATGTTCAAAAATACCTTGACTTGATAGGCCTAATATTGCTTATGAGAAACGTTGTCAAATTGTGTAATTATGTAAATAATATTATCTATACGTTCAATAGCGACCATTGTTCATTTAAATTGTTGTTGCTGTTTGCATCAAGATTAATAAGATTATGTTTGAAAATGTTCTTAATATATAGATAATCATACAGAGAGAGGGCGAATGTTTCAACAAGAAACGGCATTACCGCACAAAATGCTATTAAATCAACAATAGCTGAGAGACAACGTTCCATATTTAATTTAAACGTATAGTGTCCAAATGTAAACCAACTTGGCATCTCAGTGCGGCATATTTTGTAGGCAAGGGCAGCACTAAAGAATACCAGTGTTGATGTGCCCAATAAAGCACTTCATAAATGGATGAGAACCTTTAGGCTTACCTTCTGCTTGCGTGCGTACCGTATGTAGACCAAATTAAGGATAATCCCATAGATACTTTGGAATGAATCCATAACATTTTATTATTTTTCATGTTTTCTATTAGTTCAAAAAAAAATATTAAAATAAAATTTTATTAAAAACTGTAGATCAATGTGGCTTCCTTAGGGTTACAATGCCAATAATAGACACAAAGCAACTATAGAAAAATCAATAGTTCACATAACCAACTATAGTCATTATAAATTTTGATTTTTTTCACTTCTTTGATTATCAATCAATAAATATATACCTAATCTTTATTAAAATACATATCACATAATATTAAGAGTGATTGATAAGAGAGGAAGCAACCATTACATTTCTCGCATATATATAGATCGAAAGGATTGTTAAAATCTTGTGAAATCTTTTGATTAAAATTCACTTCTTAGTATTTTTTTTATCGGACTACTTTAGTGACATATTAAACAAACCTGTCATCTAAGGCGTCATATTGTACTTTTATAATAAGCTATATATCGCAACAAATTTTTTTCAGCGATGAGCACCTTTCGACAGATGATTGTATCCACAAAAAGTCATTGTATAATGTACTTTTTGGTCTGAATATATGATTCGGTCAAACATTTTGAGAATATCGAAATGGTGACTGAATAAGTTATTAAATATTGGTGTCAAAACTTGGAAATATATCGGCTTTCTTGCTAAATTTGTCGTGCAATTTTTTATTTTGGTTATGTGATTTAGCCATAAAAATCATATAATATATCTCCAATAGGTTACTACATTTTTCGTATGAGATTACGCCAAATATCATATTTGTATCGTTAATCCTCAAACGCTAAACACTTTAAAAACAGATATTCGAAAAATTTAATTACACAGTAAAACTTCCTTAAAAATATCCTGGACTACAAAACCTCAAGTCCAGAACATTGAAATGGCGTTTTTTGCACCTAATACCATGAACCAAACAATATACTTAAATAAAAATCATAAGTGTGCTTCATTTATGTTTACTTTGGGGAACACTCATGAATGACCAGAGACCTTTATACGTCCCAGAGCTCGGGTATTTTGATGATCATCAAACTAATTTAATTATCTCTCATTTACTAGTTAATTTATTGTTGCACAATGTAGAGTCTAAAATTCTGTAGGAGTTTTTCATTAGTAATATACCATAGCATACCATAATTTAAGTAGCACTTTTTTTTGGAAATCATTTAAAGTCTAACTTATTATCACACTTCTAATTGATTTCTATTGCATAGATTAATAATTTTATTATAATAAATTTCAATCCATTGATGATGATGATATGTATTGAATATAATTTTATAATTTACATAGAAAAAGAAAGAATCTTGCTCCTCCGCACCACACAGTTAGTTTTTATGAATAAATTAATAAATTCTGGACTATCTTCTTTAGTATTTCCAAAATAAGTCATTAGAGTTTTAATGCTTTCCAAAAATACACGGTTTTTTTTTTAAGAAAACTGATGTTTATTATTTTTTTCGTCACGCAAAATCATAGACTTCCAGTATTCCAACATTTATCTACAACTGTTAACAACAGTTAGAAACATTACATTTGTATAACAGTACAAATATTTTGTGTTGCATAAACATGTGTCAGCAACAAAAACTACTACGAAACATTTATAATGTTAAAGTTGAATGAATCTTAAAATTCTTTTTTCTTAATATTAGTAATACATACAACATAATTTAGTTGTTTTTTGCGTAAATAAATTAATATTAAAACAAATTTTTTTTTAAAATAAAATGTTTCGAATTGACTTTTTTCATGGTATTTATGATGTTAAAACTTTATGTGATTATGATTTCAATTTATTTTGTACAATTATTATATAGTTATTGTTGATATGCAGATGTCTGAGTTGGTGATTCATACCTTAACTCTATTATATCTGTGGACAGTTTTAAGTCACACTAAAAATAACTAAATACGGGAATTTATAATATACATTTTCCATTAATTGAAAATAGAAAGCAGGTCTAAGTTTTTTATTTCGATCAGTGAAGATTTCGATACTGTATAGTATAGGCTAGGTTATACCGGCGATCTCACGGATTCACTATACAGTGTGAATATTCATTGTATCCGTTGATGTATCCATTAATGATTACTTACACATTAATTACCATCATTTTTGCTAAATAGATATTTTTGTTCAACTTCATTACTAAAAACTGTGTAAATTTTGACCTGAGCTCTATCATAGTTGACAAATAATTCATGTGTAATTTAATGTTCCCGCAAATTCGCTTACATGACACATCCGCCATTTCACACAGGATAATACACTGCGAGGACACTAATTATATGCAAGTTTAGAAAATGAGCTGCTAATTAAATTTCACGGGTATTGATACCAAAAAAGGGTCGTCTACTAACGGTCCAAATAAATATCATACACAAATTTAGAAAATTCGTAATTTTGTGGTTTTCTACTCTGTCCGATAGAAAATGCAAATTTTGAGCATTAAATTCCGAAATCAATTGTTTAAAAAGAACAACAGTATTTCAACATATACGCATTTATATCTGCCAATTCACATATTTGCATTGCGAAAATTTACTCTGGTCAGTAAATGCAGTGTGAATGCTGTTTATTTAAATAAAGTCACTTTATTCGTATACGAATTTCGCACCTCATTAAGCCTGATTGAGATATTCTCTAAGCTGTGTAAACCCGCAATTAATGAATAGATTCACTAAATTTAAATGTGAAACCCTTTATTATTTTAAAAAATTTAATACGCTTTAATTTGCTGTAAAGTTTATTATTATTTAAAGTGAAGTGACCTGTTTTATCTGCAATACTTTAAGAATACTTCAGTTAATGTCTTCACTCAGATACACACTCAAAAATCTGTTTAACCACTTTTGTTCACTTTTTTCAAATACAAATTTATATAATTTTTCATTAGTAATAAAAATTGTTAAGATATATAGTTGTTTTATAAAAAAACTAAAACCAGTAAATCGTTTTAAATAGTTTGAAACTATAATGCAAAAAAAAACTTAAAATTTTTGCTTAAACCGAAAACTGAAATAATTTCGTAACTGCAAGTATCTCCTCTACAACACGACCGCCTTTGCCTTTGTGTTTTCGCTCTGTAAAAAACCTCAAATTTTTTCGCTCTTCTTCCCTTTTTTGGACAAAAATTTTAATTTAAGTTGGAATTTGATGAATTTTAATACAAAAGCCTGCAAAAATGAAATGGAAATCTTGAGACAAATTTTAAGCAAACGAACGCAGACAAAAACTGACATCATCAGTACATATTTTGCATAGTCAAGCTGTCAACCAAAATATTTGTCAAGATAGTGACATGAGTTAATTTTTGTGTGCGGAAGGAAAATGATTTTGAATAAAAAAGCATTCCAGTTTTAGATATATTAGAATTTCAGTGAAGAGTATATTAAGCCAAATTTCCTTTCTTAGCTGGCACATATGTCAGTCAGTCCATAACAAAAAATAGACTTCAGTCAATTTCGTTTCTTCAACTTGTCAAAATATATTCAATTTAATTTTATTCAAAATGATTTAAATAACAACTGAACTGTGCTGAATGTTATGAATGTATACTGAATGTTGAAGAAATTGGGGAATTTTTTTAATTGGTTTTATAGAGGTGCAATTTATTGTCATACATAAGCCATAATTTTGTCTTTCAGGGTTGTAAAAAAACAGCATTAAGTCTGGTTGAAACAAGTGACTTTTAAAATATATCAAATGCTTGTTATTTTTTCATATATTTTTTTTTGTTGAGTTGTGTATCGAAATATCTAAAATGTAAAAACACTAAAAAAGTTAGAAGATAAATAAGTGATAATGATTCTAGTATAGTTAAAGTTTAGTGTTGGGCAGGAATAAGCCCCCCAGCCACAAAAGAATAGAAGTGCGCAATAGCACTAACTCAAATCACAACAACAACAACTAAAAATCATTTAATGTAAATACAAAGAAAACATAATAATGATTAGAAAGGCAATGGCAAGCATTTTTAACTTATATACCTATTTAAATTAATTCACTTAATTATGTATTTGAAATTCTTAGTAAATGAAATGCTCATATGGTTTTTACGTATGATTGGAATATTGCACCA